CTCAGAAAATTCAACTTTAATACCAGAGACTCTAAATATGGCCACACTCCCCATGACCCCCAATCAGCTGGTGAGTGCACCCTGTTCATTTTGCCTCAGCAATCTTGTCTCCCTCATCCTGCCCCCCTCAATTTCTGTCCCTCATCTTGTTTCTTTTCTATGTTCTACTCCAGTCCAATCCCATACTACCTGCTTTTCTTAAAGGTCTGCCTATAAATTAGTCTTGGCTCCTGACTTTTCTGGTCTACATCACCAACTTATCCCTCCACCTCTACTAAGAAAAAAATGTTCCCTTTTATACGCCTGGACTTCCCATCAAGATGGAAGTGTAGATAGATACTTGTCACTTCCTTACACAACCACAAGAAGAATCACAACTAACCTTAAAACAAAAAGCACCCAGAACTGTCAGAAAATCAAACTGTATGGAAGGAAGTCAGACAGCCAAGGATTTAAAGAGATCATATTCATCCAGATGGGCAGGAGGGCTGGAGTCAGCGAGCCAGAGTGGAGAGGATGCATTGTGGTACCAGAGAGGTGGGAATAACAATGGAATAGGAAGCCCCACATTCATATGTGGTGCAAAAGGTTGGGGGAGATACCTTGGGAGTGAGGGATGCCAACCTCAGGCCAGACCATGCAGCCCAGGGTTCCAATGCTGGAAAAATAAAGCCTCATAACTTCTGGCTACAAGGACCAAGGGGGGTTGGGGTGGTGGAAGAAATTGCCAGTCCCTCATAAGCGTCTGTTAGAATGGCCTGAGCAGTCTTGTAACATATGCAAATCCACCCACTCTGGAGACCACCACCAGGGCAACAGCTGGAGGGGCACCAGTTGCATAATGAAATTGGGTGAAGTGAGTGGATATGGAGTTAGTACCAGGCTGATCTCCAGAAGCCAAGCAGTGGCATTGTCCCCTCACCGACTTCTCTGCCACACACAGAGCCACAGAGCAGTGAAGCAGTTTGCCTTGCCCTGGCAAATACCTAGGGCTCTGCTCCTAACAACTTAATAGGTATGCTAAGACAGGGAGTCAAAGCAGCTCTACCTAAAACACAGAAACAAACATAGGAGAATGCCAAATTGAGGAGACAAAGAAAAAATGCCCCAAGTGAAATAGCGGAAGAAAACTCCAGAAAAAGAACTAAACGAAACAAAGATAGCTAACCTGTCAGATGCAGGGTTCAACACACTGGTGATCAGGATGGTCAGAGAGCTTGTGGAGTACAGCAAAAACATAAGGGAAGAAATGAAGGCTACCTTAAGTGAAATAAAGAAAAGCCCACAGGGAACCAATGGTGAAGGAAAGGAGGACAGGATTCAAATTAATTATTTGGAATATGAGAAAGAAATAAACATTCAACCAGAACAGAATGAAGAAATGAGAATTCCAAAAAATGAGAGTATAAGAAGACTCTGGGACATCTTCAATAGTGCCAACATCCAAATCACAGGGGTGCCAGAAGGAGAAGAGGAAGAGCGAGAAATTGAAAACTTATTTGAAGAAATAAAAAAGAAAAACTTCCCTAATTTGGTGAAGGAAATAGACATACAAGTCCAGGAATCAGAGAGTCCCAAACAAGTTGGAATCAAAGAGGACCACACCAAAACACATCATAATGAAACTGCAAAAGGATAAAGAGAGAATCTTAAAAGCACCAGGAGAAAAGCAGAGTTACCTACAAAAGACTTCTCATAAGACTGTCAGCTGACTTCTCAAAGGAAACTTTTCAGGCAAGAAGGGCTGGCAGCAAGTATTCAAAGTGATAAAAACAAGGGCCTACAACCAAGATTGCTCTATCCAGCAAAGCTTTCATTTAGAATGGAAGGGCAGACAAAGTGCTTCCCTGACAAAGTAAAGCTGAGGGAGTTCACCATCACCAATCCCTTATTTTATGAAATATTAAACAGACTTATCTGAGAAAGAGAAGATAAAAACTATGAGCAGTAAAATGACAACAAGCTCACAATTATTAACAATTGAATTTTAAAAACCAAAACAGGAACAGAATCATAGATATGAAGATCATTTGAAGGGTTATTGCATGGGAGGGGAAGGAGGAGAATGGGGGGAAAGGTACAGAGAATAAGGAGCATAATTGATAGGTACAGAAAAGATAGGGGGGAGGTTAAAAATAGTATAGGAGGGGAAGAAATAGAAGAACACATTCACAACCCATGGACATGAACTAAGGTGAGTGCAAGTGCTAGAGGGAAGGGGGGTGCAAGGCAGAGGTGACATGAGGGAAGCATTAGTGCAACTCTAATAGCACAATCCATACAATATACTTTAAAGTTAAAAATATAAGAAGTATCATATCTGATTATACTATTAGCCTCTAATATATATCAGATGTTTCCCAACCAAGCAAAGTTCAATATCCTTAGCACTTTTTTCAATTTGCTTCATAATGGTCCAACCTGACTTTCTGTTCTTATCACCCTCTACATGCTCAAGTTTGCACTCAAGAACACACCAGCAACATGTACTTTATACTTTCAGGCCTTTGGACACTTTTTTCTAGAACTCTCTCTCTTTCTCTCTCTCTTCTATCTCTTCTTACTGAAAAACCTAGACAAAGCTTCCTCTGGTACACTTCATGTGCTGTTTCTCCTCTGCTCCTCGACAGTGATTAACTGACTCTATGTGATCAGATTCTGTTAACTATGTGAAAATTTTGGGTCCAAGGTTGTGGCAGGTTCCTACAGAAGCCCCATAGCGTTTGAGTCTTCCCCATTGCAAAAGTGCCAGATGTGGGCCAAATCAACTTCACGAGATCAGAGGTTTGGGGAACTCTAAGGAATCTTAGAAGTCTCTGGTGTGATAACCTCATTTAATATATTAGAAATTTGCAATTCAGAAAATTATAAAAAATTTACTTAGAATAACACAAAATATATATATATATATATAATTTTATTGCTTTTGTGTTGCAATATATATATATATTTGTTTTTTTCAGCTAGGAATAATTCTTTGAATTTTTATACATATATAGCATGATCTTTTACTTCTGCCTTTACAAATGCTCCAAAGAGAGGCTCAGGTCATTGTTTTCTGTATATAAATTCACAGTTGAGGATAATGGGAGGTACATGGCAAGTCATATTTGTAAAATGGTTCAGAGAACCATACACTCAGGATTAAAAGTTTAGATGTCTTTTGTACCACTACTAGCCACAGTTTTGTTCCTCACTGTTTTGTCTTCAGCATTGTTTATTATTATTTTTGTTATTTATGAAAGCATATAATCTACCACCAGCCTCCACTTGCCTTCCTCGCTACACCAACTCCAAAACTGTGTCATTTTTGGTGTATGTAAAAGACATATATGACGTGAGGAGGTCTCTATAGAGATATTCAGAGAAAGGCAACAGGATCATAAAGTAAAATGGAGGTTTTAATTAAATGAAAAAATGAAAATTCCAAAAACCAGATTACTGTCTTGGAAAAATAGAGGTGTGCCATTTGTGGCCATAGTAGCTGAGGTGTCATCATGGCAATTAGATGAAAAATAACACTTGTCTTGCATTTCTATCCATGGTGGCATCACACCATATGAAAATTCAATTTTTTTTCAGTTTAGAGAAGAATAAAAGGTGATAATTACCTGTGTGCACTAGGCAGAACTCCACTACTGCCCAACTAAGTGATGAGTTTAATGATTTAGTGGGTTTTGAAATTTTAATTTAACTTAAATTCAACTTGAGTTTTATGTGGCCTATTTTATTATTTGATTAAAAATAGAATGATATTTCCAGCCTTAGTCTTTACACTGACAAAAAAGACAAAAAGAAAACATTCAAATCCCACTTGACTTGCAAGACTAAACCGTTATAAGCTGAAATGACAAATGCATGATTTGTGTAATCCAATTACTCACAATTAGGTTGTTTTTTGTCATAACAATCTGTGGTGAAATGTAACAGGAAAGTGGATAAGCAACAAAAAAAGGTGTGATTTTAAGAGCAAAATTCAGAACTTGGAAAAACACCCTGAACTTTTAGTGGGGAATATTAAATATCATCTACAACTACAAATGCATGTGATATCTAATCAAAGGAAGCTTGAAGGAGTGAAGGTAGTACATGTTTCAGAAACAGTCTTTATCAGGTCAGGCACATGTAAGACTTCTGCAGTAATTGATCCATTCTCCTCTTTGCCCAAATGTTACATCACATAAACATAAGTACTAGCTGTCTTCCCCCTCTAATGATTTCTCAGAAGCTTGTGTTGAACTGATGCAACCCAATATTCTGGGCTTTAAAATGACTTGATGCAATCGATAACACCCAAAGAACTGTAAAGATTTAAAACACTTTTTCTCTCACAGTTGCATGAAATTAAGGACTTGTAACTACTGTCTAAATTGAGAGACCTGAAATGGTTGAGAGGTACGGAAACCTGTCATTCATTGCTGCCACAGTCATGTCACTCTGCTTTTGGACTCCATCCAACACAGTCAGCTGAAATGAAGTCCTAAATGTGACCTGCAGAGGATGTGACCTCATAGCTCCAAAACTTTCCAGCACAATTAATATTAGTCTACCCAGTCATAACAACTATTGACATCAATGTGTTGCTTAAGTCTTCTGGGAGCGGTGTGGAGTAGAGTATTCCAGAGGCCCACCTAGCAAAAAAATGTGTGCATTAAAAAAAAGTCTTTTTTTTCCATCAGACTCTATGGCTATTGTCTCAAGCACTAGCCATCCTCCTTCCTCGGCCCCTGAACTGAGTTCCCAGACTCCTGAAGTGGGCCACAGCAATAGAGAAAAATTGTCCTCTTCAATGGAGACTGGAAACAAGAGTTTTCAATTACTTTTCCTACTTGACGCTTCATGCTGTTCTTATTTCTACTTGTGTTTCATGTCTATCAAAGAATATGTTACGGGACCGCAGTGTTCATTTCTCAGGTTCTTCCTTCACATCCTGCTCATCTTCCTAAACTTTGCTATTTCAATTAATTTTTTCTTATTTCCTTTCTCCCTCTCTTCCCTAGGATGTTTCGACTTCTCTGCTTATCCTCTCTGGCCCTAACCTCCTCCAATTCTTTCCTCCTGGGTACCAGCCCCTTAGACCTGCCCGGGCTGCCCTTTACCGCCTTTTCTCCTCCTCTCCTTTCCTGAGCCCCTTCACCTCACCCGTTCTGGTCTCAGGCTCTCCAGATTCTCGGGCTGTTTGCTGATGAGAAATCTGCTGCAGCGCGGACCTGTCCCCTGCGCGCAGCCCAGTGACAGAAGAGGGCGAGGCTGAGAGAAAAGCAAGGGCTGTAGGGGAGGGAGGCGGCTGGTCCTCCCCGAGAGCCTGCAAGAATGCTGCAGGGGGCCGGGGGCCTGGGAGGCAAGGACTCCCCGCGCCCCTGAGCCGGGCTGCAGACCTGGCCCGAAGGCCAGTTTCCTACCAAGTGCAGTCGAGAAAAAGAGGCGCCAGGAAAGCAAAGAGAGGGGCGCTGAGAGTGTTCATCCCCAGAGCAGGCCCTTCTTCGGACAGGGGGAAGAAGAGAGGAAGGACCCAGTGAGTGGTAAGGAGACAGAAAAACCCGTTTCTGGAACGGTTCCCGGGCGTCGGGAGAATAGGGCACCTCGGTGAGCACCCAGAGGTGCAGCCCGCGGAGCAGTGGGCGAGGGGCGCGCAAAGGGAGTGCAGAGCGCTCAGGGAGGGGACGCGAGGAGCGCAGCGATGCTTGGGGCTGCTGCAGGTTTGGTGGGCACGAGAGTCTGAGCTAGCGGGGGAGCGCGTGCAGCGGAGCCAGCCTCCGTGTGTATGTGAGAAAACGAGGGGCGAGCGCGAGTGCAAGAGAGGCAAAGAGAGAGCGCATGTCTCATCCCTGCAAGCAGCCACTAGTCGCTCCACCACCATCTTTTGCATGTGCAACATTTGCAGCCGGACAGCAAACCTCTCCCAGGGCTATGGAGACTGCGGGAAAAATCTGGCAGCTCGCGATGGATTGCTAAAGGGAAAGAGTCAGAATTAGAAATCATCCAAACCTCCCCCCTTTTTTTGTTATTGTTTTTAATTTTAGCGCCATCATCTTCAATGCCTCTCTGAACAGCCTTTAGGAAGAGTGCGAGAGAAAGAGCGCGCGCCAAGGAGAGGAAAAAAGAAGATGAGGATTATTTGCAGACAGATTGTCTTGTTATTTTCTGGATTTTGGGGACTCGCCATGGGAGCCTTTCCAAGCAGCGTGCAAATAGGTAAGCTCTGCCCCGATGGGGTGTGCCCGTGGGTGGCTGTAGGCGATATCCAAAAGTGAGTTAAATGAGTTGCTGATAAGCAATTCAGGGAAACCTTCAGTGGTTCCCTTCCCCTCTGCTCCTCTCTTTTTTTCCCTTTACAAGAAAAAAAAAAAAAAAACCCTGCCTTTTTGGTTCAGGTTCAATTGAAATATATACAGAACTGCCCACCTTCCATCCTCTCAGCCCGTGCTCTCCATTTCCAGCTTTGGTTCAAGTCACTTAAGTAGGATACTCTCCATTTGCACCTTTGGTTCAAGTCGCTTAAGTAGAATTGGATTAAGTTGGAAAAAACCACCATGGGGTATGATTACATTTTGTATGATTTTTTTTTCATTCATTTCTCTAAAGCATGAAGGGATGTCGAGTTAGTTTTTAAAAATACACTTCTTCCCATACTGGACTCCGCATCTTTCTCTCCATTATAGAAAGAGACTGTCTCGGGGAGAAAAAGCGTTTCCACCTGCAACCGCTGCCTTTGCTTGCTACTGGTTAACCTAACCAAAGTTAGATCCCTTCCCCCGAATTTTCTCTCTTTTATTTTGTTTTCCTCTTTGTATCTTTTGCCCCCTTATTCCTGCATCTCGACTCTGTTTCTGGCGAACTATCCACCTTTGGCTTTCTTGCTATTCTCCTCTCCTGTCTTAATGGGACGCAGCTATTGAATTCCTTCCAGCTAAAACCAGCCTCGACACTGCATCATTTCTCGTGAACTGTGCACAAAACGGAGCTGAGTAGGCTGAGTCCACCAGCTGCAGAAAAACAAAGTTCATGTCTCCTTTCTGATTCCCCTCTTCCCTGAATGACACCACATCCTTTCATTTCTGTATTTTAATGCAAATCCTCTTTTCTGTTCATCTGCATGCATCTTCCAGTGAAATGCCCCAAGCTGGCTGATGTAGCAGTGTGCTGGGAATCATGGGGAGGGTGAGAGAGAAAAAGGAAAACACACTAAATGGTCTCAGAGGTCATTGTGATCATGACAAATCGGGACAGGGAAAAGCTGAGGTGTCCTAAAGACTAAAATACTAAGCATGCATTTTAGTCTTTAGTCTTTAGGACCTCAGGGACAAAGGCCAGTCTCCCAAGATGTGGCAGGGATAGGTCCTTAATTGTATGTGCTGGGGAATGGCAGTGCATTTGATGGTGCATAGGGTGGCAATAGCATTTATAAAAGGAAACATTGAATGTGCTTTTTTTGTTGCTTTTGATAGGTGGTCTCTTCATCCGAAACACAGATCAGGAATATACTGCTTTTCGATTAGCAATTTTTCTTCATAACACCAGCCCCAATGCGTCGGAAGCGCCTTTTAATTTGGTACCTCATGTGGACAACATTGAGACAGCCAACAGTTTTGCTGTAACAAATGCTTGTAAGTAAAACATAAATTATGGATAAATTAGAAGAGAATTAAAATGAGGCAGTTGAGTGCCTTTCCTCCTTATTATTATTACTTAATTATTTGGGGGAAAAATTCAAGCGTCCCACATGTGGCTGATTCCAGAGCAAATCGGAGTTAAAAATCGGGATTTTGTCTTGAAATATTGAGATCACTTTTTTTCTCTCTCTTTCTTCCTTTCTTTTTCTTTCTTTCTTTCTTTCTTTCTTTCTTTCTTTCTTTCTTTCTTTCTTTCTTTCTTTCTTTCTTTCTTTCTTTCTTTCTTTCTATCTTTCTTTCTCTCTCTTTCTTTTTATTTCCTTCCTTCTTTTTTTGTTAATTTCTTGTCTTGATAATTCAAGTTAATTTCTCCTTTAACATTTCAGTATTATTCCTTATACCTGAATGTCAAGTCAGTGAAAATTGAACTCAGTCTAGTTTTGGTTCTGTTCCTTTGGTTTTTCTGATTTATTTTTCACTTGAGTAAGCATATATCTTGCTGTTAAGGTAGACATATGCTGTCTTGCACTGATGAAAGCAGTGGAAGGCTTGCTAACAGTGGGAAAGAGAGGGAAGCAGTGATGTGGAGGATATATATTCTCGACGGTTGGCTGACGCTGCAGATGATCCAGTGATGTCACTGGAGGCTGCCCTGCCCTTATATTCTTCTGGCTTGTAAATGTCTCTTACTATCACATAATGCATATATCCTGTGGATATAACTTCATGAATCCTTACCTGGTGCCAAATCACGTTAGTCTCCAATCCACCTGAATTCATAAAACACATTGAAACTTTAATGGGTGACTTCACCTAATGCTGTAATGAAAGAGTTGTACAGTGCTCCCCTACCAAAATACTGTATAACTTAATGTAACAAAATTATAATCAACTGTGGGTTAATTGAAAACACTTTAAAATATGATCAGTCAATGTAACATTTACATTGCATTTTCGATGTTGAAGGAAATACATGTTCCAAATATCTCTTCAGCTTTACATGCCAATTTACTACTGCTTACAATTTATGTGTTAAGATAATGGTTATAGATTATATAAGACATTTAGGAACAGTTTCTACATGAAATTTTTCACAAGGATAGTAAAATGTTATTCTGATTGTAGAGTATTTTTATTATATCAAGTTGATGTATTTTTATTTTAAGAAATGGTACTGAACAACTAAGTGAAACTGAAAGCAAAGTTTTTAAATGTTTGGAGGATATCTGTTTATTTTATTTTAATTCATATTTATTTGCCATTAATTCATCTAACTGATAGTGTGATCAGTTGTTTTCTTAATTTTTGGCATCTAACCATTACTTTATTTTAGAATTTGGTTTCATAAGGAGGTCAAAGCATTTGACATTTTGCAAAGTGACAAACATATTATTTTGCAAGAATGCTGTGGTTCCTATGAACACAGCTTAATTTAGAAAAATAGTTTGATATTTAGTGATAAAATCAATATTGCATTATAGAAGTAGAGAGTTATTTTTAAGCATAAATGCACATAAATTAGACCCAGGTTTGTGGATTTTCATTTTTGCAAATTTTGCAAGTTAGTAGTTTTGTTTTGCAAAAGATGTGAACAAGTCAAATAATTCTAGGTATAAAGCATTATCCCGTTTATATGAATATTAGGTGTTTATTTAAAAATTTTCTCATGTTTTCCTGATATTTTATGGAGAAAAAATTATTAACTTTGAAAACAGTTATGACCCCCGTATATTTAAAGGGACTTCAGTAAACACTAAATTACCATTCAAACATTATTTTTTGTTATTTTTGAGAGACTTTCTTAAAAGTGACAAATACATTGGTTTTGTTTTGCTTTTACAAATTAAGTATTTAAGTATTCTAGAATTTGTATTTTTTCTTTTGGCTATGTAAACTATAAAATAATAATTTTTTTCCTTATCATTTTTAATCTCATTCAGGATGGTTTCAATTAATATTATTCTATTTATGTAATGAATATATTATGGAAAATGAAGTCTTACTACTAACACTTGATAAGAAACTGCACACAGAATGAAAAAGGTATAAAATATGGATAATATGCTACTCTTTCACATTTAAGGTTGAGAAAATTGAAACTAAGTAAACTTTAAGTTTGCCTATTTTGAATTCAATTGTAATGCAATGTTAAGGATACTGTATTTTTCATAATCAAATTAATTGATTTTTCATTATATTTAAAATATCTTTTTTTAAATGCATAAATTTTAAGAGGACAATATATATATTACAGTGATTAAAATGAATTCTGGGAGTGAAATGGGTATGCTGATTGTTTGTAAGGCAAACCTAAGGTGAATTTAGGAAAAGGCAGTTATCAGAGAGCAGGAGTCAGGTGACTTATGTTGGCTGTGTGGACCATCCCGGAGCACATACAAGCTGATTTTCCAGTCTCTTTAATGGGGAAATGTAAACAGTAAGTATAAGGCAGTGTTATATCTCAAGCTTTATTCCTTTGTGTAAAAAAGGATAAAAATAGTGTTCTGGAAAATTAACATGGCCATTATTCTTCACAGTGATACAGACTGGGTTTTTAGATTTTTTTAATGTTG